GTACCATGGGTTTCTTGGTGGTGGTTTTTGGTACCCAAGTGTTGCTTTTGCTGCAGTTTGTAGGGAGTGGGCAATTCTTTGCCATTGTGCTTCCATACTACTATCGGGACAAGAAGTGATTTCTTCAAGCAGATGGATAAGTTGAGCGGAGTAGGCCTCGGCTACATGATGTGTTTGCAGCTTTTCGACGTCTAGTTTCCGTGTTGTGTTAGATCGCACCTTTGCTGCTACATTAAGACGGGTGCGTACCTTGGCTGCCACAAGGTAATGGTCCGAATCGATATTCGCTCCTCGGATCGATCGGACGTCTAAAACACTGGATGAATGCCTTCCGTCTATCACAACATGATCAATTTGATTTCTCGTTGCTTGATCAGGATAGATCCAAGTGGACTTATGTATTTTGAGATGCTTGAATCTGGTGCTGCTAACTACCATATTTTTTGCTGCCGCGAAGTCAATCAACCTCATGCCGTTGTCAGATGTTTCTTCATGAAGGTTGAATTTTCCGACGGTGGGGTCAAAGATATTTTCCCTTCCGATTTTTGCATTAAAATCTCCTAGCAGAATTTTAATGTCATGGCCAGGGCAACGGTCATATCCTTTTTCTAGGCGCTCGTAAAATATGTCTTTGGTCTGTTCATCTTTATCTTCGGTCGGGGCATGGGCGCAAATGAGACGGATTATAGCAATTCGCTCATCTACTGGAGTGAATCTGGAGACAAGGTATTTTATTCTCCTGTTAACCATAAATCCGCAGCCAAATTAATGTCTCGTTTCATGGCAGCTATAATACAGGGCGTAATCGTCTGATTAATTTACGTCTGTCCCTTTCCATCGTATTTCCGCCAAAGCGAACACTGCGGCTGTTCTGTACAACGTGCGCACATTCCAAGTGCAGATTCGTAAATCGTGGTCCTTTATACGTTTGCGGGGGTCGTCAACATTAGGGGTGTTTGGTTTTCTTTTTCTTAGCTTTTCATAGTAGGTTGGGTTTTCCGAGAGTGGGCAACTAACCCGACGCCTCAACCCATTTTTTATAGTTCTTATTGGTGAACTCGCGGGACATGTTAGTTCACTATTTCATCGAGTGAGTAATGAGTAATTTTTGTTTGCTTGCCAATTAGTATCCGTTATAAGTTGGCATTGGTCGGCTTCCATTTATCCCTAGGTGTGTACTTTTAATATTTTACTTATTCACCAAAACAGTTCACATTTTTTGCTATTGTAAACATAGTACAATGAAAATAAACGATATGAAACGTTTCGTATCGTACTTTTTGTACTGTTTTCGATCATGTTTTCAAATAGAACGAAAAGTTTTCGGTTACAACAAATATATTGAAACGTTCAGTTGTTGTTGGGAGGGAGGCGTAAATGAAACGTTTCCAACGGTTTGCCGAACAAAATGATCAATTCTTGTGTTTGTGTTGCTATGGCGGGTGGTGGTGGTTGTTCATAACAACCACCCAACAAATCTGTGTTGTCGCTATTTTTGATTTTTAATCTCACCATGGCAACACAGATCTCGTTCTCATTTTCTGTGAAATTGAAATCTAAATACGTGCTTTCTTCCATACAAAAGATTAGCAGTCTGTCGCCTTGTACTGATCACCCTACACCGCGTTGACCATGCAAAAGAATTCGATGTTGTTTTTACCACCACTCGTCGACTTAGTTTTGTTTATCGATTCTCATTTAAAATTCCTTTCTTGAGAATTTCGAAATTATATTGCAATAACAACACACATTATTAGTAGATAAATTAGAAACTATAACAACTCCATATATTGCTTGTTTGGTTTATTTGTTGTACTTTACTTCGATTGTTCTAATAAAGACTTCAGCTGCGAAATCGACCCATTTTCTAACAAAACACTCCATGTTCCCAAATCTTGTTCGTTTGTTTTTGTTATTCCTCTCCAACCAAACGAATTTTTTGATGTTATGTTCGAAACGTCTCCTCGAAGAATTTGCTTGCAATAACAGCATACACATAACAGTCCACAATCTTGTTTGATTTATTTGTTGTATAGATCCATCGCCAAACATACTTCTGTTGTTATTATTGTTCTAACGTTGATCAGTTATCACTGCAGAATTTGCTTTGCCATAACAACACGCGTGTATTCCACGCGAAATATACCAAAATTGTTTTGTGTTGCATATGCATTTTTCTGCTAGTGTATCTTGTGTTTTATTCTGTTTTGTTTGATATTCGTTATTCACCACAGCACAGTGGTACCAAGCGACAAAAATTGTGAATTTTCAAAAATTAATATTGCAAATTCCTGTTTATTCTTTTTTTATAAAATATTGATTACTAGTAGGGTTTTTGATATTTTTGGAAATTTGTACCCTACATTCGGCAGCTGTCGCACATTATAATAGAGCCAAGAGTATTTATTAAAAATGTTCATTTTTGTGAATATTTATCCGTTGCTGTCTTTTTATACCCTTTACCACAATGTGTTACAGGGTAGTATGTCTTTGTGCATATGCTTGTAACAGGCAAAAGGAAACGAGTTAGACCTATGGTTCCTTTTAAGAATATGCATAGAATCACTTTCTGAGTCGATTTTTGCATGACCGTCTGTCTGTCTGTCCATGTTATATTGTAAACAAAGTACAGGTCGCATTTATGATCCGAATTGGATGAAATTTGGCACAGCACAATTGTTTGGCTCAGGGACGAACCCTATTGAAAGTGGGACAAATCTGTTCAGATTTAGATATAGCTCCCATATATATTTTCGTCCGATTTTTAGCAAACAGTGCACCAAATTTAGGCCGAATGGCACGAAATTTTGCACAACGTATTGAAGTTAGGGCAGTCTAACGTGTACCAAGTTTTATTGAAATCGGTCCAAATGTTGATTATAGCTTTTAGTCTCAATTTTTAGCAAATGGTGCACCAAAGAGTCGAATTTAGGCCGGTTGGTGCAACGTAGACAAAAAAAAAAAAAAAAAAAAATCAAATTTAAGCTGATTGGCAAAAAATTTTGCACAATGTACTAACGTTAGTATAGCTTAACATGTGTCAAGTTTTATTGAAATCGGTGTCAATTTAGATATAGCTCCCATTTATAAATAGTGCACCAAAGAGTTAAACTGGGTCCGATTGACATGACATTATGCAACATATCGAAATGGGTCTACAATAACGTCTGGAAAGTGAGTTTAGATGAAATTGGTTCAGATTTAGATATAGCTCCCAATATATTTTCGTCCGATTTTACGTGAATCGTGCACCAAACACTTCATGCTTTTTCGATTGACACAAAATTGTACACTACGTTCTTAAGATAGTATAGCCTAATATATGTTAAGTTATGGTATTCAATTGAGCCTAGAATATTACGTTTCGTAGAAATTTGTTCAGATGCAAATATTGTTCCTATATATATTTTCGACAGACTTCATGTTAATTGTCCTCCAAATAATGAACTAGTGTCCGCATGAGGCTCTGTGTTGTAGCATAATGAATAGTCTGATTTAAATCGATTTACATAATGTTGTCCCTTTGCGCTGATCGAGAATATATATATATATATACCTTTTGACAACCGCAGCCTATTATTTGTATTCACCTCTTCAACTCGTACTACTTCGACATAGAGATCTTTTTTACAATTTTTTCAATATTTGGAATTATTTGCTGCACTATCTTTTGAGCTATAGTTATCTTTGTTGGATTTTAACTTTTATTCTCCCTTTGTTGTTTATAGAGGAGGTTTCATATTGCGATATTTTTATATACAGTGAACTCTCGATAATGTGAACACTCAAACTGACAAGCTGATCGAATCGAAAAAAAAACTAACCCGATATTAATTGGCATCCATTTTTAGTGTTTTTATTTATCGAACAAGTACCAAAATTAACTCTAACGTTGTGGGAGCAAAGCGTTAGGGTCAAAGCATCTATTTCAGTTTGGAAGGATTTAAATTGATTCGATCACCACAAGATCCTCGGTGTTATTATTCAGTAAATCATTATTAGTGCTAATGCTATCGGTAGATATGGGCAGTGGGTAAATACCGAGTATGTTGGGTAAATACTCTGTAAATACGATAAATACCCATTTGTGGGTATTTATTTGTGTATTTACTATATTGAAAAAATAAATACCCATTTGTGTTTGGTATTATATATTCCATATATAAGTGTATTTACTATATTGAAAAAATTATTGATTTCATACTCTTTGGCGTTTTCACTTTTATTGTGTTTGAAAACGTCTTGAATAATATATATTCGTTACAATCTGCATACTCCCAAATGCTACAACATTGAAATGTCAAACAATTTTGTTTCTTTTTTTCAGTTATATATTTATAAGCACATCTAAATGTATGTTTTTATATAAATATATAGTTTTTCCGTACTCAAGGGAGAATCGAAAACAAGTATTATCAGTTGAAGATTCTTGTAGATTCGTGAACAGATATATAAATTTATATTATTTGTATTTATTTTACATACATACGTAATTTGTGCAAAAAATTAAATCCGAGCAATTTTTGTTTTTATATCATCCATTTTAATATCCAAAACTTGACTGACTTATATTAAGATAACCATAAATGTAAACGTCAGTTTAAATAAGTCAAATTAAAAGATTCATCAAGAATCCTGTTTGCGCCAGATTATAAAAAAAACTCGTAGTATTTAATTTAATTAACATATGCTTTAATGAATAAAAAAATATTAAAGATACATAAAACATACATGCATTGTATGGGGGTTTTATGCTGTATACAGATTCACATATTTTAAATATCGACAATAAAACACATATACATTTTAATCTATTCAAGTACATTGATATATAATCTAGTTGTAAACAAGCGTATTCGTTAAAATTGGCATTTTCTCGTCACATAGTTTTGCAGACATGTTCGGAATGAATTGTCGAGAACAGTGATATGTAGATTGTATATTGGATACTATTGCTTCATCTCGGGAAAATACACATAATCGGAAAACAATAGGTATCTTTATTTTGAAATGACTTCGCGTAATGATCTTGAGGAGGCTATTGTGCGTTGGCCTTTTTCAAGCTTGTCAGCGTCACCAGCTGAAAAGCGGTGTATTATAGGGTTAGGGACTGCATTTTGATGATCAGATAAAATACTATTTTGAATGTGGTGATTTACCGGCGTATTGTTTATGCACCATAATGATTTATGATTTTGTTTATTAGTTGAAACAGATTCATGTTCATTCAACATTTGATATTTGCCGCTCAATCTTATTTCAGGTTTCGGAGGCACAACACATACAATTGATTGCGACGAAGTCTGAGATGTGTTGCTGTCACTGCTAGATGGTGTTGTATATTGGAGTTCATTGGAATTATGTGTTGTGAAATGTATAGTTGGTGAAAAAATAGATTCATCCGTCTTCAGCAGAGCTTCTGTGGAAGGCGAACAGCTACTATAATTCATAGCTATATTAAAGTTCGTAATTTTGTCGGTATCAGGGTGCACGTTGTTATCATATGTGTCCTCATTGTCCAAATTTTTTAGAGCTGGTTTTGCTGTCAGACGAGATACAATATTGTCAGTCTTTATCTTATGTTGTATACCTAACATGTCAAGTATCATCTGAGGATTAGAAACCACCAAATTTTGTAGAGTATTGTAGTCGATGTACTTTTCAGAATCAGTTTGACATGCACGAGAAGTTTGCTGCGTTTTATTCGATGAAACAACGGGGGGTTGTGTGAATTTGGATGTGTGAGAAGAGTTGGCAATATATTCTGGGAATATTTCCTGCATTTCGCGCCCCCATATATCTGGTGGGTGTGACGAACTACGCTGAAGTGCTGATTCTTCACTGCTTACAGATGGACATTTACAATTAGCGACGACAGTTGCGCTGATATTCGGTATAGATCGAGCGGGCGGAAACTTTAAACTTGTTTCTGATGCCACGGAAGGAAAAGTTATTTCTTGCAAGGCTTGTAGCGCATTTCTAACTTCAAAACTTAACTGTGTCATATCATGGTGAAGCGTCGTTACTTGCGAGTCCAATCGCTCTAAAGAGTGTTTTTTATTGTTACCATATTCAATGTAATCGGTATCGTTATCCTGAAAGTCTTCTTCCAGAGAGGTAGTGTCGACGCTTGATGTCACATTAACAGAACGTTGCCGTTCCACGCGTTCTCGAAGTGTTATGAAGCAGCGTCCCTTTTTGTGGCTCTTTATTAAACGTGGACTATTAACTGCAAGCAACGGAGAACGTATATGTAAAGGTGATGGAGTAGCAACACTGTGGTGGGGTGAAACGGTGGTGCCAGTAGAAACTCCTATGTCAGCTTCATCTTCATTGCCGTCTACTTCATGTATATTTTCATCATCTTCGCTAATGCTGGGCAATGGAAATGACGGTCCAATATCTGCGTCCTGACACTCATACCCTTCACGCAGATTGAAAGTCAAGTCATGTTGAATGTCGTTGGCAAACTGTTGCTGATACTCTGGATACAATCGCAAGACTTCCACCAATCCTCCCATGTGTATACATTTTAAATCACAGTAAGTAAGTGCCTGAAATATGAATGGAAAGGAATTTTGCTAATTATGTATATATTATATTTTGTATTCATTTAAATTTAATATTTCATAAAAAAATTTAAGTATTTTGCACATCAAAGACTTTTGTTGCATAGATAAGGAGATTTTATCATCCGAAATATGTTTGATTTCACAAATGATGATGTTGAGCGTAATTGTTATATTTTCATGAAAAATATGGATTAAATTAATTACAGTAAACAAATTTTCACAAAACTCTAAATTTGATAAATTATACGAAAATTTCAAATTGGATAAGGTAATCTATTGTACAGGTGGTAACTGAACAAGTGAAAACTATGATAAATTTTTTTAATCCCTCCACCATGACGATGACAATCAAAATATCTACAACTGAACATACCGAAAAATACATGAGAAAAATTAGATTGAAATTCTGAAAATATCTAATAGTTGAGTACCGTTATATGGAGATCAAAATCAAAGTTCCTAAAATACCGACTTGGTCCAATATTTAATACTTTTAGAGCGGAGATGTGGTGATACCGTTATGAGAACCCAAAATACCAAATTACAGCCAATTTAATTGAACAACGTGTCAAAAATTTCCATTTTGGGGGCTACAGTCAATTCGGTTTGAAAGCCTGTCCAAAACCCTCAAAATATCAATTGGGGAGTACCGTTATATGGGGGCTGCCCTGAAACTTCCGTCAATATTAATAATGTTTGGCACGGATATGTGTTATTTAATGTGCACCCAAAATACTAAATTACAGCCAATTCTGTTTGAAAACCTGTAAAAAATTCCCAAAATACAGAGTATTCGTGAGTATCATTATATGGGCGCTCCCCTGAAAGTTGGGCCAATATTTATAATTTTTGGTACGGAGATATTCACCATGAAAACCCAAAATGCCACATTGCAGCCAATTTTGTTTGGAAACAGGGTTCAAAACCCCAAAATAATCAATATTTGGGGGTATTGTTCTGGAATGGTCCGTGTGACGAATTTTTAGGTTTTCGACTGTCAAAAAGGTGTAACTGCATAAAATGTAATAAATGTAGTAAACGTCATTTATTTGAATACTATTACCATAGATATTTATTTTCAAGAATGTATATTATTTTTACATATATCTGACAATTCCTTACTAGAACTGACAATAATTCTAACCTTTCTGGAAAAGAAAATTTTGAAATTTGATATGGATTTGAGTAAAGCATATGTAATTTCCAAATTGATTAAAGTAAATAGCTATTCAGTCAAAAACCTAATGGTTTTGGAAGTGTTTCCGACGTTTCTGACGTATGTATTATATTATAATATACCTTAATGCGTGCGTTAACGACGATAACGATGGGCAAGAAAGCAACATCAAAGTCGTGATCAGTGTTGCCAAAATTTGTTGATAAAAATGCTGGATTTTGTTTAAAAAATGCTAGAAAGTTCTAAAAAAATTAAAAAGGTGCCAAATAAAAGTGCTAAAAATTGTATGGAAAAAAATTAGCAGAATTGGCTGCAATTTTATACTCTCATTGGGTCCATGTTTCGAGGTTGGCTCTAGAGAGCGCATTTTGAGGACGTTTTTCCATCCAATTGACTATAATTTCGAACTTTTGATTCTAATGGTATGCCTTACCTTCCCACAAAAAATATTAACACTGGTCAACGTTTTGGAAAATGGCATATATGCAAAAAATTGTCAATATAGGTGAAGGTTTGCATGTAGTCCTCATAATAAAGTACACTTCTGTATACCCTTTACCACACTGTGGAACAGGGTATTATGCCATTGCGCATATGCTTGTAACAGGCAAAAGGAAACGAGATAGGCTTATGGTTCCTTTTGAGAATATGCATAGAATCACTTTCTGAGTTGATTTATGCATATCCGTCCGTCCGTCTGCCCATGTTAAATTGTAAACAAAGTACAGGTCGCATTTATGATCCGAATTGGATGAAATTTGGCACAGCCCATTTGTTTGGCTCAAGGACGAACCCTATTGAAATTGGGAAAAATCCGTTAAGATTTAGATATAGCTCCCATATATATTTTCGTCCGAGTTTTAGCAAATAGTGCATCAAAGAGTCAAATTTAGGCCGAATGACATGAAATTTTGCACAACGTACTGAAGTTAGGACAGTCTAACGTGTGTCAATTTTTATTGAAATCGGTTCAGATATTTAGGCCAAATGGCACGAAATTTTGCTCAACGTACTGATGTTAGGACTGTCTAACGTGTGCCAAGTTTTATTGAAATCGGTTCAAATTTTAATATATCTTCCATTTAGTCCCAATTTTTAGCAAATGGTGCACCAAGGAGTCGAATTTAGACCGATAGGTACAACGTAGTCAAAAAAGTCAAATTTAAGCCAATTGGCAGAAAAATATTGCACAATGTACTAATGTTAGTATAGCTTAACATGTGTCAAGTTTTGTTGAAATCGGTGCCAATTTAAGCGGTATAAGCGGTGTACACACTATCATTTTTCACTGTCAACTTTTGTGGTGGACGTTTTGAAAGTAACACTAGAAAAAGTATACATTTTTTTCTTTTCTGCCTTGCACCTTATTAACTTTTTATTTATAAAAATAACAGACAAATTTTAGATGAGCACAAACAAATATAAAAACTTAATTTTATCAATAATTTTGTCATCCAGCAAATACGTTTTTTTTTACCACAGTTTTATATCACAGCAATGGATAAATGTGTCATTGATGATCACATCCATTCTGTATTAGCTTGGTGCCACTGTAACACAATTTCTTCCATATTTCCAGAAAAAATTAATCTCTGCAATGAACAAGCAAAATAATCAATACACTATACATTGTACTTGTAGCCTATTCTAAATCACTCACTATGTTTATTTTCTATTCTTTACAAATAGTTTTTTCCGAATTTTAGTTGGTAAACCCTCGCTTGTTTAATTTTTTTTTACTACTAAAGATCTTTCGTTTTTGTTTTGGTTTATATGTTCTTTCTTCTCTTCTTTTTACTTATCTCCATGCTTTAACATTTCAATGAATGAATAGCTAATGAATGGGTAATTAAAATTCACCACAACTAAATGAGAGTGGTTCTTGTCTTGGATTGGAGTAGTCACAGTATCCATCTCACATTGAATCACATATATTTCAATAACCACAATTTTAATAAATATTTAAAGATTATTTTCGAATTCTGCTGAATTTTCTGAATAAAACACATTAATGTTTATTAAATAATATTGATTTAATAAAAATGAACTCCAGAACCTAAATTTAATGCTGGCAATGATATCAACTGGATATCGATAAATTTACAGTTTGACATATTATGCCTTCTATTCTTTCGCTAAAATCAGCACTATAGTAGGAATACATTCCCAGAAAAATAAATCATTCTTTCTTTTGGAAACCGTGAAACTATTAAGATCTGAATTTATTCCCAACAAATTTTCAAATATCTTTGCAATAAATTTTCTATAAATTTTCAAAGTGAAAATTATAATTTGTTCGAAAAGTCATCTACATAATTTACGGCTCAGTGAATTCCACCAAAAATTAACTATTTCCTGGTACTATCTTGCTGTGAAACATCAATTTTTATTCGCATCAGGAAATCTTCAACAAAGTGTCATTGGAAACGATAAGCTACTACCTGTAATCTAACAAAGATTTAACCCAGGGAACACGCTACCCACAGGGTAGTTGTGGTTCCACAGTATTTTTTGGCTAGAAATCTACCCAATTGACTTTTAATTGATTCATCCCGGCACTATACAATTACATAATCGATACATATTTTGTGACACCTCGTGGACGAAATAACCTATTCCTGCAATATATATTACCCTGGTACGAGACGCCATTCACATTCTACTTAATTGGACATTTTTCATGGAACCTTTAGATGACCTGTCCACCAATCACTATCTTTGTGCCAACATTTGATTCCGAATTGTGCAACAACTACCACCTTTGTGCCAAATTTTGGTTCCGAACTGTACACTACAACCCCCGTCTTTGTTCCAAATTGTGGTACCCAACTGTGTCGACCACAGCCACACACAATCCATGAGGCATAAACCATAATCCCATGTGGCAATTACTATAACCTACACTACCAAAAAATATGGAATTCATACTTATGATCCCGATACATTAAGTATAAAATCAAGATATTTTCATAATTTATATAGAACATGATATTCGTAGAATGTATATAAAATTTTACTATTAGAAACATGGAACCATATTGGCCCATATTTTTTGTCATCCGATTTATAAAATAATCATTACCATTTTTTTTTTCATTCGAATCCACTAAAATTCAATACATTCTATATCATGTTTTCATTAATATAGCAACTGCCTAATATTCGTAATTTATATCTTTCATGCTAGAAAAATATTTAAGTTAATTCGATGATAGAAATTTATCACATCACCAACATAAGAGTATCATAATTATCAAACAGATCAACCCAACATTCCGTGCATGGAGAAGGCCTTCGCCCATACAGGAGAAAGAGGGGTAAGTCATGAAGTCTCTTTATCGTAGATTTATTGTATTGTGAGAGCATGAAAATACTTTTGGAAAACGGGACATGTTCCCCTTAATATACGATATTTCGATCTCTTTATTATTATATTATTTTTTTGTTCACCACTCATGTGATACTCTCACAATACAATAAACCAACATTTGCTCTTTTCTTATTTTGGTGATTTTCTATTGATTCTTCACTCGTATATCTCACTAAATTTATGAAAAACTGAAAAACATTATGTATTAGATTAATATAAATATTGTAGATTTTATTAAAAAAAAAGCTAAATTATGGTTTGAATAAATAATGTAAAAATTCCATTCTTTAAATCGCTTCATCATGGTCCATAACATTTGCGTATTTTTATCGATTTTTTAGGGAGTCTACAATAATAACTGTAGATGAACATGCATTGTCTAAAGGAGGACAAGAACCCCCTAAACCGACTGTAGCTAACATTCAATGGCTCCCGAAGTCTAACTTTAGACAAAGGCAAAAA